TTTGTGGGGGGAATTAAATAGTCGAGCATTAAAATGCAAATAGAGCCACTTCATTGCAAAAATGTCACCCCCCCCCCAAAAAAAAATGTGGGCCCCCTAAAGTGTGGGGCCCCACACAGTCACCCAGTTTGCCTTCATCTAAGGCCACTACTGGTAGGAGATGGTATCTGACACACTCACTGTGCCTGAGGAAGAGCAGGGTATGCAAAGCATCTCTGACTGGTACTGTCAGTGGCATAACGAGGGGCTGGGGTGATAGGGACAGCTGCCTGAGGTGTCAACTTGGGCAAAGGGGTGAAGAAAAGCAGCAGCTGCTAGCAGTTGGACATTTGTGTTCATGCTCACAAACAGGAAATTGCCACTTCTGCTTTAATCCGGGCACCTGGTTGTGCCCCTGCACTACTTAGTGGAATACACATTCTTTTTAAAAGCTTCTGTATAAGATTTTGATAAATTTAAGAGAGACTTCCTGTATTTAAAATGGAGAACACTCAAATTTCACAGAAGTTTCATAGAAGTTTCTATAAGCATCTGTTTGTTTGCTTGGGTGGTTGTTTTGGGTTTGTTTGTTTTTTGAGGGTTTTTTGGGGGGGAGGGTTTGCTTCACTTGTCAATTTTAGCAACCTCAAAATGTTAATTAGTCACAACCTTTTTCTTGGGCTTTGCTTACTGGTTCAGGGCTATTCCCATTGTGTAGCTTTCTTGTATTCCACAACAGTCACACAGACTATGCCTTGTGCTGAGCTATATTAATCTGTATTAATAATAAATGCCAACCTCTAAAAAGGAAGTTTTAATTCTTTTTCCCCTTTACACACATACATGTGTATGTGTGGGGGGGAGTGTATTCTGAGTGTAGATTTCTATACACACACAGCCACACTTCATTATTCACAGTCTAGCTTGATTACATACAATCAAGCTAGACTCTGAATAATAACATTAGTATTGATTTAATAAAGAAAGAATAGACATTTTCTCCAGAGCTTAGGGAGTTTTTATCAATAAGCACATGATCCATTTGAAATATAAAGACGTAGCAACAGGATTAATAACACTGTGAATAATAACATCAAGAATGACCACAGTGTCATTATGTAAAGCATCCTTTGAGCCACAATGCTAAAACTGCAAGAAAATCAAATGTGCAATTTGGGTGCTACTTTATCACATTTTAAAATGTGTTGTTCAATCAACGTGCACAACTGCCTAAGCTGAAAATTGCTTCTCATTGGTTTCTTAGCTTCCCACACAGTAGATAAATGTATGCAAATCCCATAGTTCATCCAAGGATGCTGATCAATATATATTCTAAATAGCCAACTTTATCATCTTGCAGAAAAAAAGGGTTTCCCATTACTCCTCACAATAGAAGCTTCATATAATAAGTGCACATTGTAATTTTTTTATTTTTAAAACAACAGCTGTGCCTTTTGCCTCATGATGCCCTAGGGGTACGATTATAGCATGATAACAACACATCTCCTGCTGTGCTGTAGTGCTTTAATATACTAATTACAACAGTAGTTGAATGATCCGTGCTCATTGCAAACTTTATACATCAAAATAATCTCCTCAAATCACAATTTTATATGCTGAACTACAAGGAAGAAAAAAAAAAAAAGGAAAACCAGAGGAAGGGGAAAAAACGACAGAAATTTTCTTAAAGCCATGTTGCCCATCTCTGAAAAATTAACTACCACTGAGAAGGTGAGATAATGGGCAAAGTCTCAGTTTAGACCTTGGGAGAAAAGGAAATTTAGATAATGATAATAAAAATAAAATGATTTGTGATTTCATAAAAGCTCAAGCTTGAAAAGGAATAATATATTTTCTTAAATTTACGTGTTCATTGAATAAGTGTCTCAAGAAGAGCTGAATTTAGTCCAACAATGTTGATAAACTACTTAATTAAAAACCACATTTCCCTATCTCCTTCATTCTCTTTGAAAATATTAAAGATTTTGTGTTTAAAAACATGTTAAAATATCTTTAAGCATTATGAAGTTTATGCTGACCACAAGAGTAATTTTGATATAGATCTTTGGTGACCTATAACTTGAAAATCTATATAATAGTTCTGTTTTGCATTTCTTCATATTTATTTAAAATAATCATTAATTGAGTGCTTTTTAGGTCTTCAATTAAGTTAGCACTGGCCCTAGATTCCTCTGAGGTATGTTTTTAAGCAAAATGTTGTGTCAAAGAAAATACTGTATCCTTTTACTATCTTTTTGATAGAGGTGCTTTTCCTCCAGACTTAATAACTAGGTGCTTTAAAATGCTATGAAGTCATTACTTTTCTATCATTTCTCAGAAATTGCATAGTAGGAAAGGTCACATTGCCATTTTGAAACACTTAGAATGTAAAAATCATGTATTATTTTTCATTAAAACCCAAGTGTGAGAGTTTGAATTCCAAAAACGATATATGTGTATATGAATGTATGGATGGAGATATCTAACTGATTTAAATTGGTACACCACAGAGTAGTCTAATATAAAAAATAAATGCATTTCTCAGAAATGGATATTTCTGCTCAATAAAAACATATGTTCAGTAATATAAATCAATACTTTAATAATATGAAACTGTTCAATATGTTTCCAGTTACAGTACTCTGATTTACATACAAGGCATACCTAGACCAGAGAACAACCTCAGGTCTCTAGCTGATATGGTGCAATGGAATCTGATCCCCCTGCACTGGCCAAGTAGCAAGCTCCCCTATGCCTGGGAGTCTGAATCACCTGCCAGGGCTCACAGGTGACGGGTGCAATGGAACTCTTGACTCCAGCTGTGCCCCAAGGCTGAAAGCCTCCATCTCCTGCTGCTCTCAGCCTTGGGGCTATCACCATACAGCCACCCCAGGGATGGCCGCGATGTCCCTCAGGCTCCGTGACCATGGCAATTCTGCCCTATGGCCCTTTTTCTTGCCTACCATGTCTTGCTGGTATAAATAATAAATAGGGAGTTTGCCCTCAAGTTTATGCCTGGTCATGGTCCTGATGGACCCCACTGAACCCTGTGGGTTCCTGGACCCCTTTCTGGGTCCTGCTCTAAATAGATGCCTCATGGGACACCCTCAGACTTATGGGCTAGATACGTGACTCCAACACCACCCCTTTACCACACCCCATGCCTCGTAGATAGTATTCAAACATTCTCCTTCCGAGGCCTTAGTCTAGCTCAGCCTCCTGTTGTCACTGTGCCCTTGTCCCCTGTCTGTGCGCCCTCACTGGTGCCGGGGCTGTACACAGTAGTATGCCCCAATGAGTCCTCCCCCACCCTAATAGCCTCAGCCCGGTACACCATTATATAAACAACAACATAAATATGAGCCCCTGGGCTATAACATAATACGAGTAATAATACCAATGACACTGGAGATCACACTCTGCACCTTTAAGAGGGCCAGTTTCTTCCTTCAGCAATGTGTGCCTCCTATGCCCAGGTCCTTTTGGAGCTCCTAGAGCCCATTAGTCTTACCAGCAGCTGGACAGGCAGCCAAGCATCTCCGTGGAGTTTTGTACACAAACTCCTTCCCCCCTGTCTGCTGCCAAAGAGCTGACTGCCTCCAGTCCCAACCCTGGGGCCTATGTGTGCCCAGGGCCCTGCGTTCTTTCGGTCAGCTGCCCAGATGCAGGTGCAGGCTAATTCCCTTATTAGCCTGCTGTCATGGAACCTGCACCTGTGGGGGTTCTGCCTGGCTCCTAGGGCCCTCTCTCTAGGCAGTTCTGCCCTTAAAGGAGCAGGTACACCTTAGTGGCCTGCAACAGGGGCCCATCAGAGTTGATGCACCCCTGCTGCTGAGAGCCCTTGCTTCTGACGGGCCCCCTGAGGACGGGAGTTCCAATCAGCCTGGCCACATGTTTAATTTATGGCATGATAGGAACCATCCATAAAGCTGTTACACATATCTTGTATAGTAACTTTGTGCCTTAGTCTATGCTTTATCATGATATTAATTGCATTAATGTGTGGCCAGGGAACTACTTAAGATGTGATTAACTAGTTAATCATGTCTTAATTATAACTTACTGGGGTCTCAGTGACTATGAGAAAAATGGTACCCATCTTCCACCAAAAATAAAACTTACATAAGCAGGCTTTACAGATGAGATATAAAAGGAGTTGGAGGGAATGAATTTTCTCTCCTCATCTGGCAGCTTTGTGTATATTATATTAACATTCTATTGCTACAGTCACAACCTATCATATTTACTCAATTAGAAAATGAAGTTTTTCCCCCATTTAACATGGCGGGGGGGAAAGCCCTTCACCTTACAATTAAGCATAAGGCAGCAGAGGGGTAGGCAGCTGCTACAGCTCCGGTCACATATACAAGTACTAAATGACTGCACAGTATCCAGAGTTACTACATAGTAGCCATGCTGAATGGATTTTAGGTGACACTGTCTGTGCAGTAGCTTGTTACTGCTGCACAGTAGCGTCACATCACACTTCATGTCATGTGACACTACTGCACAGTAGTAACAGGCTACTGTGCAGTCAGTGTCTCATGCAAATATGTCCCCACTGTTTATTTCTGAGCCTAGGAGTGAATCTGCCATACCCCTTTAAACTTAAAGAGATGTTGTCTGTGCACCGCAATGGAGTTGGGTACCATGAGCACAGAAAAATGCGCAAGATCTGCTCTGCTCCATGCTAAGTTGTGACAGGGCAACAGTTATGCCCTTCCACAAATGACAAAGACCAGTAGCTGCCGTGGAGTGGGGAATCTCTGCATGATAATATAATACACTTGATCAGATCTTTCAAGAGGCCCAGAATTCTAATTACTGGTGCCAGCTGCAGCAGGGAAAAACAGGAGACCGGAAGTCACACCAATAGGCGCAGCAGTCATCTGGGAGAGTTAAATGCCAGGTAGGACAGCTTTGGGCAACCCCCAGAGAAGGGAAGCAAGTCTTCTGTGACTACAGAGTTTCCTGTGACTGACTGATATGATGATGAGTGAGAGAACAGGGACCAGACTTACTTGACATGAGACTTGATGGGGGAGGGTCCCTCGAAGTCCGACAAGGATCCTAGTGGTGAGTGGGCTGTTCCAGGAGTATTACCTGGAGAAGGGAAGAAAGAAAGGGGAATGGATAAGGGTTGACCCTGCAACAAAGGGATTCCCTATGAGGAAGGAGCTGATGAGAGGGCAAGAGGCACTCATGGACTGTGATAGTCAACTGATGGTGCTGGCTGATGCCCTGAGAGACTAACCACTCATGAACTGTCTGCCTATGATGAACCTGGGGTATCCGAGAAACCAGGGACTAAGTAATGTTGTGGCTAACCAGACTGTGGAAGCCTTGAGAGGATATGCCCTATCATTGGGTCAGCCTGATGTTTCAGGCACAAGAGACTGAACTGGAGTGTTAGGCTAAGTGCGTATATAAGGTCCTTGATGAGAGTGGCACCCAGAACATCTGGAGTTGTAAGGGCAGGATATGGGGATGGAGGAGCCCTGCAAAGAAGCCAAATGGCCAGCTAACTTGCCGTAAGGTCCAGCTGATCCACCTCCCTAGTTTTACAACTTCCTTTTTGGTTTCTTTAACAATAAGGCTTGGCAGGTGAGTTCCAGAAAGAGGGGCCATCAGGTCCTGGCAGACTGACTGCAACATACAACCTGTTCTTACAACCTGAAGAAAGTAAGATCATCTATGTAAGTCATACATGATTCCTAGCCATAGTTGTTACAAAGTGAATAAACCTGAAAAAGTAACTAGTTAGAAAGGTCCTCCTTGTAGAAAAATTATGGGGGAAGGGGGAGAAATAAAGCCAGATTTAAAAAAAAAAAAATTTAACCTTTCAGAAATATCATGCTAGTCCTGGAGATCTGTGGCCTGGAAAAATATTAATGAGGTATGATACACCATGGCACAAGCTGATTGAATGAAGCATCCTCTCATTGCATCCCCTCATTGACTGATAGGACTCTTTCGAAGTTTGCCCAAATGATGTACCTCTTCATGAGTGGGTCCAAACTGCCTTGCCCCCTCTCCCAAAAACTCCATTATCACCCTCCTCTGATCCTATGGAAAATGGCTCTGGTGTATCTACCACAGTCATTCTCAACCAGGGTGCCATGAGACCCTTTTAAGGGTGACACAGGGTGACATGCAAAATTAGCACTGTTAGGTATGCAAACACACAAACACAATTTACAATATAAACCCAGAATTTTTCAAAAAGGAATCCACAATGTAAAAATATTATGACTTGTTGCGGTTCTTCTAAGTTCTCTGCAACAGAAATATTGCTGTATTATTTTTCCATAGTCAAAAAACAATGAAAGCAAAGGGCTGGCAGTTTCTGAGGAGTGCCTTGAGTCTAACAAAATTGAAAACCACTGGCTTTCTAGAACAAAAGCTGTGTGCACCCTTTACTGCAGAAACTCAGTCCAAGTAGACTTTATCACCTACATCAGATTGATTTTTTTAATTGTGTTATTCAATTATTTAAGTAAAATAATTTGAAAATACTTTAAAAGAAGCAATTGTGTATTAAAAACAAATTCTTAAGGGCTTGTGGGAAAATAGAGGACATTTTAACCATGTCTTGTTAGATGTGGAGTCTATTGGCATATTAACCCAATTTCTGATAGCCATAATTATAGTAAATTGTGTCTTACTCTACAAGATGTCTTAACAAGCCTGCTTGTTTTCATATTGATTGCAAATATAAGTATAACAATCTATCTCTGCACAATAAATAACTTGTGTTTGGCACTCAGGGCCCCTTTACACATGTAGGTAAAGGCACAATGGGATATAATGCACAATCAACACTATCACACCTCCTGCCATGCCATATGTGCATGGCAGGAGGCATGATTGTGGGATCATGCATTACATCCCATTGTGCCTTTACCAGCATGTGTAGATGGGCCCTGAGTGACAAACTCAAGGGGCGTGTGTAGATGAAATGGGGGCCCTAAATTGAAGCAGTGGGTTTTAAAAACACCACTTCAATTTAGGGCTGATTAAACCTCTGTGTCATGCACACACCCTGCTGACTTACCTGCCTCTCCGGTGGAGAGGGGAGAGCGAGCTGCTGGTGGGCAGAGTGGTCCCTAAGCTTTTTTTTTTTTTTTTTTTTTTTTTTTTTTTTTTGGGGGGGGGGGGGGGGGCCCGCGCCCGCAGGGGCGGCCCCTGCGCCCCAGGCAGCACCTGCCTGCAGGCACCTGGCTCGGGTGGTCCCAGGGGGCACTGCAGCTGTGGAGAGAAGCACCGGGCCTCCATGTAGCTCAGGCAGGCGGACAGGCTCTGAGGGGGTGGACAGAAGATCAGGCTCGCTGCTTTTCTTGGGCACTGGCCTCAGCTTCTTGGTATGCTATTCATCCTCAGAAGAGTTAAATCATGGGTGACCAGTGCCTCCTGAGTCTGGGGCACCTGCGGACACTGGCATCAGTGTCAGTGGTGGGGCAGGAGCTGGCGAGCACCTGCAGACACTGCCGGTGTTGTCAGCAGCAGGGACAGCTCTGTCAGGGGGGGCATGTGCTCCCCCCATTTCCTCCCTACCAGTCGCCTATGAGTTAATTCACCAGTGGATGAAGACTCCACCCTCATAACATATAAATAAAATTGTGACATTGGTGTAGATTTCATAGATTTCATAGATTATAGAGTCAGAAGGGACCCAATGGATCATCATGTCCGACTCCCTGCCCCTGGCAGGAAAGAGGACCGAGGTCAGATGACCCCAGCCAGGCGATTGTCAAGCCTCCTCTTGAAGACCTCCATGTTAGGTGATAGCACCACTTCTCTTGGAAGCCCATTCCAGACTCTGGCCACCCTTATTGTAAAAAAATTCTTCCTAATGTCTAACCTAAATCTACTCTCCACTAGTTTGCACCCATTACTCCTAGTTACTACTCTCTGGGGTGCTCTGGTAAACAGTGCATCCCCAATTCCCTGTTGTCCTCCTCTGATAAATTAATAGGCATCTACAAGGTCACCCCTCAGCCGTCTTTTGTATAGGCTGAAGAGATCCACATCTCTCAACCTCCCCTCGTAGGGTCTTGCATGGGGGCCATGAATCATGTGAGTGGCCCTCCTCTGAACCCTCTCCAGCTCCTCCATGTCCCTCTTGAAGTGCAGCACCCAAAACTGGACACAGTATTCCAACTGCGGCCTGACTAATGCTGCATAGAGGGGGAGCATCACCTCCCTCGATCTGTTGGTCATGCATCTGCTAATACATGACAAGGTGTGATTCGCTTTGTTGATGGCCTCGTTACACTGCCGGCTCATGTTCATCTTGGAGTCAACTATGACTCCAAGATCTCTCTCAGCCTCTGAGCTGCTGAGGAGGACATCCCCCAACCTGTAGGTGTGCTGGGGATTCCTCTTTAGTAGGTGGAGTATCTTACATTTATCTTTGTTGTATTGTATCCTATTACGTTCCACCCATTGATTTAACCTGTCCAGGTTGGACTGTATCTGCTCCCTGCCCACTGGTGTATTAACTTTGCCCCATAATTTGGTATCATCCACAAACTTGAAGAGGGTGCTCACCACACCCTTGTCCAAATCGCTGATGAAGATATTAAATAACACCGGCCCAAGGACCAAACCCTGCGGAACCCCATTGCCCACCTCCTTCCAGGCCGAGAATGACTTATCAACCACCACTCTCTGGGTGTGGTCCTTAAGCCAGTTAGCCACCCCCCTGACTGTGTAGGCATCCACTCCACAGCCCGTTAGCTTCCCTATGAGAACAGGATGCGAAACTGTGTTGAAGGCCAGGTAGATGACCTCGGCCTCAGCTCCTGTGTCAAGGCCGTGTGTGACCGGGTCATAAAAGGCTAATAAGGTTTGTTAAACAGGATCTACCTGTAATGAACCCATGCTGGTTTCCTTTCAGCATCGTTTCCCCTGCTGGGCCTTCACAAATACGCTCTTTGATTATTTTTTTCTAGTATTTCCCAGGGATAGAGGTAAGACTGACTGGCCTAAAGTTACCCAGCTCCAAATCACTGTAGTGTCTTTATAGCAATTGTAGTTTCTTTACTTTGTATTTTAGAAAATACAAAGTATATAGTACATTAGACCTGTGTTGGTCTAACTACATTCTATAAAGAATGTAGTTTCTTTACTTTATATTTTACAAAACCACTTCGTGCAACCTGAATTTAACCATATTGGTCACTTTTAATATAATGTTTTCAGTTAAATAAACAATGTGAACAGTATCTGAGGATAAATAATAAAATATACCAAGAGTAAAAGCAACCTCAGTGACTCTTTCATTCTGGACCCAAATGAGTCTATATCTGATACTGCTTATTCTCAATATATGAAGTCCAAATTTATCTTTCTTGGAAACATCTAAATCACAATTAAGAATCAGAATCCAAGCACTAGAAGAGTTTTCCAGAGAAGGTAGGTAAGGAAGGCATTTATCATCAGATATAAAATCCATTTTTTCCTATTCTACTTATAGTAAAATGTTGTAGGACTAATTTAATTATTATATCAGTCCCTATCCCTTCTAAAATTACATTTATTCATTGTTTTTATACTTTTATACTTGTTGTTTTTCATCCCATTATGCTCTAGAGACTGAAACATGATTTTTAAATGCAGTAAAAGCAGGAATTAGATGTCTGGGACAAGATTCTCAATTTTCTTCTTTGCAAAGCAGATGTAAACCTGATTAAGATCATTATATAAGAATCACCTTGTACAAAGAAATTTTCCAGGTGTTGTAATGACAGCATAACCACTTCACTTTCATTTACACAAATAGGGAGCATATTGGGACATGTGAAGTTTCATGATGTTTGACTGGTATTTCCCAGCTGGCTGAACAGCCTTTGTGGACTATTGTAGTCAAGCACAAAAGATGGCAATGCTAAGTCAGCAACAGAATCAAAGAAAGGAAAAACATGGTGAAATTCAACTTTGCTTTCTCTGCCCTCTCAGATCAAGGTGGGTAGAATTTAGGAGACCCAAGGATCTAATCCACAGAGGAGTTATTTGCATTTTCTTCTCTCCTGTATTCACATATTTCTTGTTTTTTTGTGACTATTAAAAATAATTGCCATTTATTTCTCCTCCCCTCTTGC